TCTTATCCAGTCCTCAGTTTTAGTTTTAGTAGTTGGAGATCTGTAGACTGATAAGAAATGTATGGAACTGTTATTTAATTTAACAGTGCATCCACAAACCAGGATATCAGTATTGAAATTTTGAGTTATATTTAATTTCATAAAGCAAAGGGTGGTTTTGATGAGGATTGCAACGCCTGCATATCCGTCATCGCGGTCATTACGAATAATATTGTAACCTTTAAATTTGTACACAGTATTTTTCTTAAACCAAGTTTCGCTAAGTAATGCTATATCGATATTATTATGATATAAGTATTGTAATAGAGAATTTTTATTTGTAACAGCGGAACGAGCGTTCCATTGCATAATATTTAAATACTTAGTATTGAAGACTATTTCTTTGAAAAAGTACCCTCCAATACCAAATTTATATCTCTTTTTATTAGATCATTATCAAGTGATTTAACATCTTCAATTGATTGAATTTTATTACAGATAGTAAAAATATATTCTATTATAGACTTAGATAAATTATCTTTGATTTTCTCTATATCATTATATTGAGGTTTGTATGGATTTGCGGGAAGTGGTTTGGAAGGTCCAAATTGAAATGGGAAAATGGGAGCGATATTAGGGGATAATGCAATAGGTGAACCAGCTTTTCTTTTTTTTCTATTGTCGTCAAGACTGCGATTAGGTGTAATCTTCGGTTGGGACAAAAAACTGTTAGTATGAGAATGGAAGGTACTTGTGCTTGGTTGTGATAATATTGGCGGATTCCGCTTAAATGTTGGGAGGGGGGGGAAATTTTCATCTCTGTTTTCTAGAACAGAGAAGGTGTTTCTAGTAGCGAGACCTGCAAAAGATGAATCACAATAGGCTTTAGCTTCTCTAAACGAAGTTTTCTGATTTATCATAATATTTTTGATTTTCTTTTGATTTTCATAAAATGGGCAAGATTTATCAACGGATACATGTCCACTAATTTCACAGTGAATGCAGAATTTATCTTTTGCTTCACAATTGTGATTTTCAAATTTATCTGAACCGCAGTTAATACAGATAGTACGCGAGCTTTTACATTGTTTAGAAATATGTCCGAATTTTAAACATTTGAAACATTGAGTAACTCGTCCTATAAATTGTTCCACGGCAAAAAATACTCTATTAACTGCTACCTGATTAGGTAAAATATTACCTTCGAAAGTAACCAGAATCATCTGTTTCGGTTTAAATTCCACTTTACCATCTGATTCAACCCTGCGGTGTAAACGTTTAATATTTAAAACTTTTGATTGGCATTCAATGTTTTCAGATAAGTATTCTGGATCATATTGTGTATCAACACCTCTTATTATTCCTTTGGTTTCAAGTAAATGATTCGGTATATATGCCTTTAAATTTTCAGAAATCAAATTAGGATGTTTAACTAAATTATTTGCGTCATGAAGAGTTCTTAATTCAACTTTTATGCGATTTCTACCAATACTTTTAATTTCTACAATGTTAGGTACTTTTAACTGTTTATATAAAATATGTCCTATTTTTAATGGGTGTAAACGTCCCAAATTATCATTATTTGTACTCTCTATATAAACATGAACATTTTTAAAATTGTACTTATCTGAGGCGGCATTAAAAAGTCGTGTTTCGTTTGTTTTTTGTACTTGGTTCACTATTTGAGAAGAGCGGCCACTGCTATCGTTTTCAATGTTATTATCCGAAATATCCATTGCTGGGTTGTCCGGCTTGTCGGAACTACTACCACTATTACTATTTGAATCGTCATTATCCTGCACTAATATCACATCTAAGTGTGTCTGTTTGGGGTTTGTCTCCCCCATCGGGGAGCTTTTTTCAATGACCGTTTATTCGGAAATAAATTTGCAATTCACTAATCAATCACAAAAATTAAATAAATCCGATTGAATTATTTAGATTTACTCGAGTGTAATGATCGACGTCTGCTTCGTACCGATGTATACACGAGACTGCGAACCATATATATAAGGGCGGAAGTGCTTTACTGCCCATACAATAGCAAGACCTGAATATTTAGTTTCTGCATGAGAAAGGGTTCGTGATGCATAAGCTATGGGTAAATCTTTTCCTATAGGTCCTTGTGACAAAACTGCACCTATTGCAGTAGAGTATGGGCACTATAGAGCGTTTTTTTCAGAATGGGGCACTAGGGACCATAGGAAAATAAAAGTATAGGGAAATCAATGTTATTAGTATCTCGTTAGATAGGTGACGTCATGAGGACAATGGTAAAAATAAGCAAAAAATTCTACCTACCCTCCTTCACCCCCCACGACCCCCTCATATTTATAAAATATGGTCGTTACATGTGATACGTCGTTGAAAAGGTCTTAACGTACAGAGTAAGGGAAGTAACATTTATCAATAAGTTATATAGAGGTCGTCTCAAGAAGTAGTATTTAACAAAACAGGATGCCTCAAGAAGTAACATTTAACGAAAAAGGTGGTGAATCGAGAATACGGTAGCTAATATACTTTAGCTAATGCCTTTAAGGAAACATCTAAAAATTCAAAGTTCTATACAGAGCGGCTCCGTAACATTAAACTCGCTTATTATTATTATTATTATTATTATTATTATTATTATTATTATTATTATTATTATTATTATTATTATTATTATTATTATTCCGATTTAAGCCGCTCCTTACGAGTATTTTATGCTTCGCTCATTTAGCACCTAGCTTCATTCCTATTGGGCCGATTTAAACGGAAAAACATTTAGTTATACGAGTTATTAACGCTACTACGTATCACGTGAGGTCCTCGATATGTTATATTATTATATTAGTACTAATTTTTTTTTATTTCGACAATATGTATAAGCTAGTAACAGGATTTATATCAAAACGGCCGTAATGTCATATTTTAAAGTTGGTAGCACCGATTTTCCTAAAATTTGAATATGTAGTGTGGTTTAGTGTGCTAATAAAGGAATTAATGTTAAAAAATGGGATTGTTTGGGGCTAATTTTAAGTTGCGAGGTGTGAATAATTAATCTGCCCCCACAAACGTCTTTTGCTTCGCTCGAAATGAAAGAAGGTTAACAAAAAAAGAAAAAACTTTTAAACGTATTTTTATTTTTGTATAGTGTTAGTAAATAAGAACATAATATAGGCTAAAGAATGTAATACAAGGTGTTAGTAAATATTTAATATATTTCAAGGTATATAATTAAAATTTAAGCGTTTTAACATTTTCCTAATTTGCAACAGACAGTCTTTTATTAGTGAAAAATATACATAAAAGCGCTAAATAATCAAGTAGTACAAGCTAATAATAGAAAAGGTTAACCCAACTGACCAAGTTAAACCGGGTAGACTCCATATGAGCTATCTCACGCATTCGTTAACCTAGTGAAGGATGTATTAGCCAAACTTGTCTTATGCACACTTTACTCGGCCCCGTCTATGTCAAGAATCACCCACACTTCTGACGCCCACATAAAAAAGTTTTTAACATTTTTAATAATTGTTATTAATTAATAACTAATTTTAAACAGTTAGCCTATTTTATATTAGTGAAAAATATACATAAAAACGCTAAATAATCAAGTAGTACAAGCTAATAATAGAAGAGGTTAACCCAACTGACCAAGTTAAACCGGGAAGACTCCATGTGAGCTATCTCACCCATTCGTAAACCTAGTGAAGGATGTCTTAGCCAAACTTGCCTTATAAACTCGGCCCCGTCTATGTCAAGAATCACCCGCACTTCTGTCGCCCACATAAAAAAGCTTTTAGACTACTTATAAAGTACAACAGTGTTACTGAATGTTTTGTGTGTACATAGAGCTTAAAAGTAAAAAGTGTTAAAACACTATAAAACACATATTAACTTCTATACATAGTTGATCCGTTACAGTCGCCAAAACAGGTGCAGCCAATTTTTTTAAAAAGATTTTCTGATGCTTCATTACAACAAAAGGCTGTAAATTCAACTTTTTTCTTGGCAAATGTTAACAATTGCTTGGCATAACCTTTTTTCGGTAGTTCGGTAATGTGTATATAAAATTTAGAGTTCGCGGCATTTTATGCATGCTGAAAGGATCATAATCCATCGTCGAGAAAAGAATAAAAGAAACAGGTATGTCACCTTCTTGATGAACGAAGCAGAAGACACCGGTATCTTTGTACCAGCCATTGAGAAATATATGCTGATCGGCCTCTACGGTTATGCAACGAATCTTTTTAATGGCCTTATCACAATATACTTTTATATTTTTATTCATTTTGCAAGGTTTAATTAAACGTCTTAAAATTAGAGCAAGTACAACAACAGCGACTGAAATCTGTAATAGAAGATAATACAATAAACTAATTACACTTTTTGCTTTACGATTGCAGAGGTTTATAAAAGCAGGCGTGTCAATTTTGGGGAGAAAAATCTAAAATATGTGGTACGTTTTAATACAAATCATTAAAAATTATCTAAGATGTTTTTAAATTCAATAGTACAAAACAGAATAACTACTTTTATTAAGCACTTGTATGGTAACAAGAAGCAGAATTATTACTATTAATGAAAAAGGATTCATCATGTACAGATGTCAGCAGACTTTGTAGTAATTGACTTGTGTATTGAAGCATTAAGGAATGGTTTGTCATATTAAACGTTATGAATACAGTTAGCTGTTTCTTGTTCCAAGCATGTTCGACAAAGGGCAAAAGTTAATTTTGTTGTTTTAACAGGCAGTACGGGGTGATACAGTTTTCTAGGTGGTAACACTGTACATTTAATTAGGCCAAACCATATAGGGTCATACAGAGCTGGATTAAAAATTTTTGTCGGATGCCCTACTGGATAGGGGTCAAAGTATTGAACCGATGGGTATAAGCTCACAACATCAATGTATCTAAGCTTTTTATTGATTACTCTTAATTTTGCCGCATTAGTTCTACCACCAAAGAACGAATCCCTAGGGTTTAAAGGGTCTTAAAATCAATAGTTGTTTCTTTCGGTAACCATTTACATCCCCACATTTCTGCAACTTTGTACCCAGCGGCCCGTAGTTGTTGAGTTCTACGCGTAGTTTTTTCGTACAAATCGTCCATTGTTTAGTTATTTACTGTATTTATTGTATCAGGATTAGTGCATTTAGGATGACCGTGCCAGAAACAACCATGATATGGATATACGGTATTTGTCTCTTTGTTAAAGCCATCAACGGGCGATCCACAAATAGTTACTTCACCACCATTCAAAGCGTTCTGTACAGAAGGGAATTGACTTAACCACAGTATGGACTCTTTACTGAACATTTATTTTTTCTCTTCTTTAACTACTGCAACTGTGTTTTTGGGCAAATATTTCGACCGATACATACGCTAGCTATTGTGAGATACTGAAAGGGGTCAATGTTTGCTATTTATAAAAAGCATTTTCGAAATTCCAAGCAGTCTCTTCTTAATATGTCAACATCGGAATTGCAGTATGCGTGTATTTCTTTCTGAAAGTCAAAAACGTCTTCTTTATGCTCAGTGTGCCAGTCTAAAAATATATCTCTAGCACTTTTCTTGTCTGGTTCCTTTGTATCCTTCATGGTGTCTACACCATAATATTTTACATCATGTAAAGGGCCCACGTAATCTTGGTTCTCAAGGGTATTAAAATAGTGAGGGAAATAGCCCTTCCTCATTTCCTTTAGGCCAAATGTTTTTGGGAAAGCTGATATTGGACCAGCGACAAAGTTTGAACTGTCAATAATTTTTAATTTAATAGAAGGAACTTCTAAAAGCATTAATTTAGAGCCGCTATATATTGTGTAGGGCTTTATCGCATTTTCAACACAATACTTCAATATAAAGTAGGCGTCGTAGCCTTTACTATTGTGAGCAATAGCTGTGTAACCTTTGTGCTCCTTGTTGATCAACCATTTACAAAAGTCCTCATTATTTTTGAAAGTTGTTTTTTCTCCGTTAAAATTATGAGCAACCACCAAGTTTGCTACATGCTTACCAGTGTTTTGCATCGCCTCATAATCAAAGAAAATGTATTTTTCCGAATAACTACAAGGTGTGATTTTAGTGATGGATTTACCGTTTCAAATGCAGGGTTCTGTACAAATTTTTGGCTCTTTATAATGGGCACAGCAGCCCCTGTTTTCATTGGTACTCTGATTATTGCATGTACATGGTACGCTACAAAAACCTCCTTTGGTTTGTTTGCGACCCATGTAGCATTCATGATTATTTTCAGTAAATTCCGCGCATTTTCGACAGCGTGAAACACCACAAGCGTGATATTTTGACCTGTCTAAGATTTTGGAGCAACCTGTGCATTTGTGCAATTTACCGCAAACAGACGAATGGTTATTTACGCACTCGTCATTGTAACAAAATCTATTACATTTGTCACAATATTTTTTATTTCTAGTCTTTATATTGTGCTTCGGCTGGTCACATACCGTCAAGTTGGGTGACTTGAGACAGTTTCAAAATTCAAAGGACTGTAAAATTGTATTCCAGCAAATTAAAATTATGAAACAAGGACACATTTTTGAGTCTACATACATTCTTCAAAATTCAATAATAAAAATGACCTAAAATTTATCAGAAAATATTTTTTTTTTGTTTTTTTGGGTGTCTCAAGTCAGCTTCACAGGGGCGGTGACTTGAGACAGTAATTTGTTTTCATTATAAACTCAAGACGGACCGTCAATTTGCGGACTTGAGACATTAATAGTCTTTAAAAACGTAATAGAACATATTATTTCATAAACACAACTCTTATTTGGAAAAATATAATTATTTTAAACATTTTACATTTTTAATACAAAACTAAAGTTTTAATTCTTAAAAAATAAGTAGGAACTTGAAAAACTTTGTTAGAAACTAATCTAAATAAAACATAACTCTTAAAAAACAAATAAAAAACTCATTTTAACGAAAAAAAAAATGTTTTAAACAATTGTGCCAGGTTTTTAAAGTTCAATAGAAAAAGTAAATCTTCCTCGTCGAACAAACACAGGAACCAGCTTTGACAGAATTTGATTTTTATTAATATCTGTGACGTCCTCAATATCTGGAAATACGTAAATATTTTTTCCTTGTGGTGATTTGCGCATAAATTTACACAAAACTAAATCCGGCTTTAGTTCAATAATTTGTCCAATGAATTTCTTCAAAATAGCTGGCTTATGGGGAGCCTCATATGAAAATTGCACCAAAATAAAGTCATCAACTTTTATATCCGAAGGATCAACCATATCCACGTCTTCTTCAAAATCTTCAGGGCTATCATATGACGATTGCGTGGAAAAGGAATCATTACTGTCACTGGAGGAATCTACGCTTTTTTTATTTTTTCGAGAAATAATAGGTTTTGCTTTTGATATTGACGGTGTCGGGTTATTAAATTGAGTAAAATCAGGTAGCTCTTCTTCAATTTCTTCCTGGTTTCCATGGACTCCATTTTCATTTACCGTCTGTTCTACTTCTTCTAGAGTAGTATTTTCAACACTCTCTAGAGTAGTATTTTCAACACTCTTTCCAGGCTCGATTAGAATTTTTTTTCTTTTCCTCGTACCGGTTACTGTTTCCTTCGTATATAGATTGCTTAAAAAGACTTGAAAAGCATTATCTATTGACACTACAAAATTGTTTTCATCATTTGGCTGTTCTAAGCTCGGTGGCAACTTATCTAGTACTTTGTTTCTGTTGATTGGATAAATTCCACTTCCACGGAATCCAGCTATGAGATTTGCTGATGTCTTGTTGTCTACATCAAGTTGATCCAAACAATTTTTTAGCAGTCTGGGAAAAGTATCTTTCGGTACTACCCCCCGATGCTTCAATTTCCAATTTAAAAGAACATCTCTCCATGCGCTTTTGAGTGGTCTGAAATATGCTACGTCTAAGGGTTGGCAGATGTGGGTACTGTTTGGAGGTAGCAGGATAAATCGAATATTATATTTTCTGCATAAGTCAATTACGGATTGTGAAATATGGCTGGCAAGATTGTCGCCTATTACAGCTTTTGGCGACTCAATGGGGAGTTTTTTAAAATACGGTAACGCCGTAGATTTAAACCAATCCTCGAAAATCGCTTCATTAAACCAGGAGCTCTTTGACCTATTGTATCTAGCACCAGCAGGGCCATTTTCTGTCCAAGTTTTATACAAATTTTCGGCCTTATAAACTATGTAAGGTGGCAAAAGTTCACCCGATGCGGATCCTGCAAACATGATGGAATGGCTGCTTCTAGAGTTGTCCATTATACGATGTGCGTGTTTTGCACCTCTTCTGACAAGTACCTTGGTTTTTCCAGGATCGTCAGTTATATTTGTCTCATCATAATTGACCATTGCATTTGGTTCAACCCCTTGCAAACTTACTTCCAGCTCGTCAAAATATTTATTTATTACCTCCCTGTTAACACTTGCCCGTGCCCGTTTTATATTTTCACACCAGCGTTGTGAGAGTATATCCTTATGCCTTTCAATGAACTTTCTCATAAATTCTCTTCCTGGCAAATTCTTTTTAAATTTTGATACCTGTCTACCAGAACTATCTAAATACGACTTAATCAAGTACCTTACATCAATAGATGTTAGTGGAAACCCCCAGACACTGGCTAACTGAATGTTATCCACCATCTTCTTTTCTTCCTCTGACGTGAAAACAGTTTGTCCACCTGCCTTTTTCATATGACGTCCTTTTGCTCTTCGATCTATCGTATCCTTTGAAATACCATATTTCCTTTGAAGTTTTCTCAATGAAACACCTCTATTTCTTTCAGCTACTGCAAGTTCTAAATCTTTTTCGTCATATCTTCTATAGTTGGCGCCTACTTTTTTTTTGTATCGACCCATTCTTGTAAATACCTGCAAAATGAACACGTATTATTTAATTAGGGTGACTTGAGACATGTCTCAAATTACCCCTGGGGTGACTTGATACACGTCTCAACTCGCCCCTATAAATCCCATTTTTTATTTTCTTATATAAATCAAAAAAACTGTTTATGTTAACAAAAATGTATATATCAATAATTACTTCCCATATACACTAACATCAATGTAAAATATGACCATTCCCATAAATTTGTCAGTTTGGACTACATACATAAAGTTTTTTAACATACCTATAAATCCCACAAACCCTATTCTTACAATAAAATACTAAAACCGCACTTACCTTCTTAATTAACCAGCAAAAACTATAAAAACAACTTGCATAGACTTGTCGTGAATGAATACCGCGTGGAAAATGAATTCCAGTACAATCTGCGGTGTTGCCAACCCTTCTCATAAATACCTAAAGTTTTGTCTCAAGTCACCAGGCAGTCTCAAGTCACCCAACTTGACGGTAGTTTACAAAGAAGAGCCTTTTTGCATTTATGTTTGTTCTTATTGTTATAACCTGTATCACATGTTTCGCAGTAGTAGCTTCGGCCATACAAACCCTTTAAATTTATCACATTGAAGTGGTTTTTGTGCTTGTACAAGTACAATTTAACCGCCTTCTCAGGACCTTCATATACAAGCGAATTCAAACATTCGGCATCTACAATTTTAATTTGCACGTCTAACAACTGTTCGGTTTCTTTAACATCATTCAATGAAAAGCCATTCTCATAATTACCTCCTAGTCTGTTACATAATTCATCCGCCAATCGTTTTTGAATTCGTTTACCTTTTCGACAAAGAATAATTTCTTTATTAGTTAATGTTTTATCCAAAATCTTATTAGTTTTGTAAGTTAAAGCAGAAACAATAGCTCTCGATGCACAAAAGTTGTTATTAGTGTTATGGATCGTTGTAATGCTGCGCTTGGTTCTTCTATCTGTCGCCAAATTTAAAATTCTAGAACTACCGGTAAAACATGGGATTTTAAAAGTTTGAATATCGAAAATCGTATTGTCAAGCTGATTGGATGCGTCAGATGTTACAAAATCCTCAATACACTGCAACAACTTTAGAAAATTCACGTCAGTAGAAGTCTTTGTGGATACCGGGTTATTAAAATTTTCATTATAAGCGATAATTCTGATTTTATCACCTGGTACGTATTTTGCTTCATTTTTAGCTTTATTTAGGCCTTCTTGTAATGTTTGAAGCAATTGTTCAGTAGTGGTCGTTCCTTTACAAACGACTTGAATTGTTGACAAGTAGGCATTGAACTTCTTTATATATTTTTTATCAATATATTTCACAGAGCAAGACATTCTTTTAATGTTAACTGATTTGCTTATTTATAAGGCTAGAAATGAAAGCCTAAAATAAAATTGAATTATTTTTAGTTATTCAGAGTCAGATTCTGTAGCGGATTCGTCTGTGGTAGTAGGAGGTGTATAGCTACAAGAAAAACATACAAATACAATTGAATGAAAACAAATACATTCTTCTTCTGACCAATAAAAATCATGAAAATAAAGGCCACATTTTTCACACCTCAAAGAACACATTGCGCTGAGAGGTTGGTGTTACGTTAATAAAACTAATAAAAATAGGGATTAACCTTGAAAATAGAAAATCCAATACTTTTAAGCACTTCAGAATTTTAAATAACGAAAAGTGACCACTTTATTTAGTTGCTACCGAGGAACTTGTTTCATTTTTCAGCTATGAAGATATTCTAAAAATAAAAATATGCGTGTGTGAAATGAGCGTTTTGCCTATTAATATTTACTAACTAACTTTAACCAACGTGCTTTTATACCCTAAATTTTGTTGAAATATTTGGCAGACCTTACAAGTTTTGTGAAAACTTTGTCTTTAATATAGTTGTTTTTGAGCCTTTGTTAATTTCTAGTTGTTTTAAGAATTTGTATATCGAATGTTGTGCCACTTATATTAACATGATTATCAGAGGTTACAACATTTTCGATTTGTTCTAGTAATTTATCAAAATTTACATTGGTACTGACTTCTGTCGAAACGGGGTTATTGAAATTTTCATTAAGAGCGGTAATTCTGATTTTATCACCTGGTACGTATTTTGCTTCATTCTTAGCTTTATTTAAGCCTTCTTGTAATACGTCTAACAGATGTTCTTTATTTGTAGTTAAGTTACCGCCTGATTTGTCATCAGTTTGTTTAAAGGCTAGTTTATAAGTAGACTGATAAGCCTCATACTTCTTTATGTGTTTCTTTGTTAATAGATTTAGAGACCACGCCATTCTAAAAATAAAAGTGTTGGTTTAATGTTCGTTACATAATTTTTGAAAAATATCTAAACTAATAACGGCCAAAGTAAAACGATACTTGTCTCATAAAAAGAAATTTTAATAACGGAAAATATGACTAATGTAAAAAATAGTAAAAAACACGTATATTTCCAAATTACGCGAGTTTTTTATTACGGATATCTGAACATATCAGTACCATTTACATCGCCGTGATTAATAATACAGTTGCACTGTGTAAATAAAGAGATTCTTCGTTACAGCAAAAGGCCGAAAATTGTTCTCGTTCTTTCAGATGTAGCAATAATTTTTCTGCGAAGCCTCTTCTTCGGTGTTCCTCCAAAGTATAAATATAATTTAACGTTCTTGGTCTACTATGCTTATTTAAGGGATCATAATCCATGGTATCTAATAAAACGAATGAGGCAGGTATGTTGTTGTAGTATAAAATATAACATGATACCCGTTTCTGTCCATACCACTGATTTATAAACGTATTAACACCGACATTAAAATTACTTATTTTTTTACTGCTTCTTTACCCGCAAAATTTTTAAATTATTCCATTTTCAGGAGCTAGAGTTGAACACACAATCCAAACTGTCTAAAAAAAAAGACAACTGTAAAACATTTTACGTCTAGCTACAAGCCTAGTTATAGTCGCTACTTCATACAACAATGTGTTTACTCATGGCCGTCTATATCTCCAGGCCGGAGCATTAGATGTGGCAACGCTGTCTGCCTGACAATTAGTGGGTCTATGAATTGGTCCGAAATTTAAATGGATTTATAATCTACCTATTACTTACCACTGTACTTAGATACTTATTTACTGAAAAATAGTTTACACGCTAATAAAGAGATAAAAAATACAGTAGGGTGAATAAATAAGGGTTTGAATAAAACACTCTTACACAAAAACAATTTTTATTAAATACTGTTTATTTATTTTTTCTAAAGTAGACAGTTTTCGATTTTTTATTGCCATTACTGAATCGGTTGGGATTCGTCTTATATTTTCTTTTTGGTATTTTTTTTGACTGATTACCTAACAATTCCTTGTCATTTCTTAATTTTGTATAATTGTTCAATAAAATGTTACAAAAAATTGACAACATAGAATTTAATATTTTTTGGTATTCTGTACCACAATGACAAATTTCCTGCATGTTTGCATTAAGTTTTATATCAAATGATATACTGGTTTTTGTCAATGAAATCACTAACTGTTTTTGATAATTTTTTTTTAAATATAATTTCATAATCTGTTGAAATTAATGTATTGACTTATAAAAAATACATGTTTCCCTACATCTAAAACAATATTTGAAGGTATAGTGTCACGAGGTCGTGTTTTTTGTACCAGTTTCGTTTTTGAAAGAAAATAACAAAATATAAGAAAATATATAATTTATTGATCTCAACCACACCTCATTTATTTTAACAATATTTTTAAATGTCTTGGTACACTTACCACATTTCTCAAGCTTGGAGCACATCACAATCTTCCCTAAAAAGGCACAATGGAAAACTTTTTTTAATTTATAAGGATCTTAACTTATTACTTTTTTAATTTTAAAGGATTTTAAATTATATCAAAAAAGATGGCTTAGTGGAGTCTCTTTTTGAGTCCACCTTTTTCGCTGTCAAGTCTACAACTAACTTCCTTGTTTAATTTTCATATCTAATTTTTTGAATATTGCCGAACTGCAAAATTTTACGTAGTTTAATCAAACTTAAATTATGTGGGTGATGACCTGATATTATTCTAATTAAGCAATATTATTTCCTACGTATATTAGCAATTCGGCAGTATTTTGTAATCGGTTTTAAATTTGTTTAATTATCTATGTTTTCACTTAATAAAAAATGCTGAATAAAAAATAAAATAAATTTGTTTAATTTTCTTTAAAAAACACTAAGAAAAATTATTATTAATATTTTTTGGAATTTGTGACAATAGTTAAACCACCTCTTTTTAATTCTTCAAAATATTTATTATCCGTCTTTACATCAGAAGTGATTAAAGATTTACAAATTGATCATTGAAGTTTATTAGACATTTTAAATGCTACATAGCCAGATTTGTATTATAACAACGAAGATTCATCTATTGAGAAAGTTATATATCTTTATCAAAAATACTGCTGAATTCAGAAACATCAATTTCGTCAAATAAAGTGATCAGTAAAGTATCAGCATTTTTAAAATAATTTTGAGAAAAAGACAAAATCCCATATTTTGCTGATTTTAAACCAAGAATACATTTAGTTCTAAGCTTTCTTTCAGTCTCTTATGTTTGGGTAACAGATATGTTATAATTGCTTCCTGAAAGTTGTCTGTAAGCACTAAATTTTTTTCAAGATTGTCAGTTTGTATTTTCCTGTCAGAACATAATCAACTTTCAGAGTTACCAAACTATATTTTATATGTTCTATTAGAACGCATGTGCACTGATATAAAGCTGAATGTGAATTAAATAGTCTGGATCGTAAACTTTGTTTTTAAAAACATTTATTTACTGATTGTACAATAATATTATACTTATCAACTAACTTAGATACTAATACATTGAAGTCAAAACTAGAACTGAGGGTTCTGGGTACAAAGATAGGTATATATATGAAGTAGGTCGTTAAGATAACGACCACTTAACAAATACTGATATCACTAATTACAACTATATAATTTGTGTTTCTTTGGTCAAACCGCTAATACCTAATAAAGTCCATTTATTAAGCCACTTTAAAAAAATTTGTAAATAAGTTAAGCGGCTGTCAGAAATATCTGTGAATGGTCTAGCCAATTCATTTTTTTAAATTCCCCTTTAAATTTGGATTTAACATTTACTATAGTCCACCAATCGCTAATAACTTAATAAATTTGTAAGTGCCAGGACTTGTTATTATATTTGGGTCAGCCGATTTCAGTATATTACAAACTAGCTGAACCTTTTGCCTTTCCAAGCTATTTGGATAAACAGATTTAAATTTGAGTCTATAACCAGTCCTCAAAAGTTTATTTGAACATTTAATTCGATAAAAATTTCTAATATCTGAAAATTTTGCAACTAGCGGTGTTTCATCGATATTGTTAAAAGGGGGAAAATACAAATTATTTTTCAACAGCCTTCTTATTTATCCAATTGTTTTTAATATTCTTAAAAACATGAACCGAATCAAAAGTCAAAAAAGTACTATGAGAAGAATTTGGTATATGTATTTGAAAATGTGATGTGGGCAATTGATTTTTTGAATATTCAGATAAACATAGATGAAACATTGTATCATTAACTTTGTTATTATCTGATATAATAGCTATTATATGAAAACCTGATTTTACTACTAAATTAAAAATCTTTCTTTGTTAACTCATACAGATTGACTCCCGTCAGATTTTACGAGATGCAAACTAACTACTTTCATATGACCAAATGCAGATGACATAATAAAAGCTTGAAATGTTTTACCCATAGTTTCAGGATCATTTTCAGAACTTTCATACAACTTTCCATTTTTGAAATCTAGTATGGAATTTACATAAATTTCGTCTAATTGTAAAATAACAAATATTTCAATATTATTTGTCTTTTTACTTAAAACTTCTAAAAAATTATTGTTTCCTTGTTCTGATTTAGACGAAAGTATAAAAGATGATGATATTTGCTGTAAATGTTTTACATGTGGTAAAATTAGACAAGAAGTTTCTCTTATAGAAACATATGAGGTAGAAGACTGTCAGTAAACCATAAAAGACCATAAAATCATTTCTGATGAATATTTTCTACTTTTCAAAGAATTAAATTAAATTGCTCTATTACAAACTTTAATTGTTTTTCATCATTACTTTGGGAATTCTCACTTACAACCATTTCTTTCAGATGACCCATTTTCTTTTTAATACATGCTATCAAAGAATCTTTTAAAAGCAACAAATCTTCTCTTTTTACATCTTTATATCTTATTAAAATGTTTTCCAATTGAGATTATCTACTTAATTTTAAATTGTTTGGCAAGATCCAACTTAACTATTCACTTGTTATTAAATTTTGGTTTGTAGACAGTTGACAAACCATGTCCAGAGATAGTTTTAAACAAACTGTGATGACTGGCACATCATCAAAATCACACTTATAAAACACCACTTTACATGGATTAATGTAGAGAGTCCATTTATTGAAAACCTTTCGTAAACTAGAAACGAAATTCTCGTAACTAGGAATAAGATCTGCATCTAACCACCCCTCTCTTTGTATTTCAGCCCTGTTAAATAGTACTTGCTTACGCTCTTCTGGATTTCTCCCTGGAATATTTTCCGTAACATTTAAATATTTTAGGACATTCGGAAATATCGTAGGTACTGCTTCAGGTAACAAAACTGTTCTGCTACGAGGATACTCTTTCCATTTACCTGAAACATCTTTGTATTTTTCAAACCTTGAAAGATCGTCTTCTTTAAAATGTTTGATACACACAACAGATGTTTTTGTGGGACTCCAATCTTTTCTTGGAATATTTTTCAGCCCTAACTCTCGTTTATTCACCTCTACAGGAAACCAAAAAACGGTTACATAACCTTCTTGGGATGAAGCATAATTGCTGGTACAGCCAGGAACGCAACATTTGGGTAGCATTTCTCTCTATAAATGAGAAAGTAAAAGTAAGCATTATTTTCCCTCACATATTTTGTTTTGCTATTTAAAGTAGCCTACTTACCAATGCAGATCATAACGTGAACACTTCTCAATTATTATAAATAAAATCACAAAGGTATTAAACACAAACACTAACAACAATAAACTACAACAAACAATGATGTGGAATATGTGGATGTCGCTCAAGCTGCCTACCTACCCTCGATCGGAGATCGGACCATACGCGGCGTTGCCAGTTTGACCACCCTCCGGCCTGTAGATACAGACGGCCATGGTTTACTGCAAAATTTCCTGGCTGTTAAAGACGGAGCTACTTAACGACTAGTCCCAACCACAAAAAACTTTACATGAAGCTTAATAATTAAAAATAGGTTCCAAACTCTTAAGGCAAAAATTCACGCACTGCAGGTATTAAAATAGTTAATGAAATTGTATGTGGAAAGAGTCCATAAACTGGAGATCACAGAGAACACAGTCATAAATAGGAGGTATTACAGTTGTTTCGGTATACCCACTTAAAAAATATTCGTATGTCGTAGCGTATGTATTGTCACGAGCCTATTTGTCGTGATTGAGTCACTTTAACTAATGACTCTATGTGCTACCTGACTTGGAGAAATAAAAGATTTCGAGAACAATTAACAATTTTATTCATCAATAAATAATCAATATGCAATATTCAAAATGTAAAATAGATAATTATAATATACAATATAAAAGGCCTTACCAAAACATCCCCGTTAGTGGCACGTCACGACGCTTACCCCAAAACTAAAAGATATCTATTACTTTAGATACCTCTCAGTACAGCAAATGGAGAACTGTCCTCGTAACAGTAATCAGTATCGAATTTATACCTATTAACTATTTTCTGAATTTGATATTTCTTTAATTCGACACAATTAATGCAGGTCGGTAATAGTTCAACATCTATGTTTTTGTTATGAAATGTATACAATATTATATACTTAAGGATATATTTACATTTAAGAGATTATTGAGATTTTCAATTAGAGATAATTATTTTTATTCTAGGATTTATTTAAAAGTATAATAATTTATTTTAATGAATTTTAATAATGATTTTTTAATATTTTAGTGGACGTGACATGCCCCCAACGATTAAAGCCAGACCCGGGCTTTTCCTTAAACCTAACATCGAAAGAGAAATTCAGAGAGACAAAAAATATACAAACATTAATGACAATAAAAAAAATTTAAATTGAAAGAAAAAAAAACAATTAAAGAAACATGAATGTGTACAATTTTATACCTTTAGATGAAACAACTTTTGCACACACGAAATAGTCCCGTATCACTGACAGTCAAACACTCCGAACACAAATACAGTCTTTTTTCTCATCCAGGCCCTGGTTCGACCTTTTGTTCATTTCTTCGGCTTACGGATTTGATTTAAGCCCCGGGAGACTCGAAACTCGGATCGTCTGGTTGCAGCAGCGGCTTGGTTGAAGGTGCTGTGTGTGGTTCAGTAGTTCAATGGAGTTCTAAAGGGCCTTGGTTTTATTGACGCTTTTCTCAGTTGTGTTTATACTTATAAGTAGATTGATTTTACATGATCATTGCGAAGATTCATCAAGGGCATCAACTGCACCGACCAACTAGTTGAAGTTTCAGAAATAGGAACTCGCCTTGTCTGATAGGGTTTGCAGCTAACGGCCAGTATTTACTGTGTTGCTGACTCGTGCTTGTTCTGTATTTCTTCTTAAAATAGTTTGTCATCTCCAGAACATATGGGTTTCATGCATAAAAAGGTTTTGACTGGGTAGTTTTGACTAATACCCAGTCCTTCTTTTGTCCACATAATATTCAGCAGATTGCCGTATGGTTTTCCTGTGGGTTTTCACATCACGGATGGCATTTTCTAGTTTTTCTGGTTTATAATTTTGGTAGCTTCTACCACCTACCACTTTCTTATAAATTCGGCCCATGTCCGAAGTCGCCCCCTAAAAACGTATAATTTTGTTATCACCCCTGTATATGAAATGTGTGTAAAGATAAACAAACGAACTCCTGGCTAAAATATTCTCAAAACATTTACATACTTAAAATACTACTCCAATAATGCCTGCCTACATTTAAATCTAAAATACCGTAAATAGGATAGGCCTCATAATTGAGTCTTTTTTACATATAAAACAATGTATATGATGATTACTATGTCTATGTATGAAATCACACTGTAAATTATCATAGGATTGTGCAAGTTGTAAAACAATATTATTTTCTATTTGTGCATTGTAACAATTGACACATAGCAAGAGTTGAGGCTTCTCCGGTGCACTCAATTCTCCTGAAACATAAAAATGGTAGTAAAAACTACAATTAGTATCATCATTCCCGCAAGTGAAATGATCCAATACATCTTGGTGCGGGAATGACCAGAGAAAAGTAGGCTCTCCTGGTCCATCGTAGGTTAAAATTGGTTTTAAATTATACTCCTCTTGATATGGCAATGGTAGCAGTATCTTATTGAAAGGTACCTCAAATGTTTGCATCGCACATCGCGGGAGATTGAAAGATGTTTTCCGGGGTGAAATTAATTCAATAAAAACTAAAACAAAAAAATTACTTACTTCTAACTCTTGTATTAAATCAAACTCACACTCACTTTGACCTGCAGGCGAAGAGGAATTTATACTGTTGATTTCTAAATAACGAATAACTTTATAATGCCGGTAAAATTACAAACCTTTGGTTTATATGCCGGCGGTTCCGGCGGCATCCCCTCCCAAGGGGGGGCATCATGTTTCATGGTACATGTCCTGCGGACGTACCGAAACGATGCCCCCCCTACTAGTATAAACAAAAATTGTACTAAAATATGCAAATGAGGTGGGCACAACTTACTTTTCAGTATCTTTTGAATTAAGAAATTTTTACCAAAACAAAAATTACGTGAAACGGAAAACTGATCACGACGTGCGACCGCAACACACCATCATCTAACGGCAACTAAGTAAACATTTGGGTAACATACTAATATGGGCTATCTTTTACACTGTTGCCGCTGTGAATGCATATTCAAAAAATCTACCTGTTGTCCGAAGCGACCCCAAATGGCCGAAGTCACCCCGTTTGACGGTGCTTCTGTATTTAAAAAATACTCCATTCTAATGGCCTCGAAAGTTGTCCATTGGGAAATTATTGGAATGACCACTGGCAATATATCATTAATGAGATCCGGTTGGTTACTGTCTCTTAGGGCTAGCTTCAAGGATGATCGTGACTGAGGCTGTATTGGGTCCTTGAACTGGAGGAGTGCTCGTGGGTGTGTTTCATATGCAAAAAAAAACAAAATTAACGGTTTATGAAATTTTATCCTAAATTATTTGACTTAAAATTAATTTGGACAAGGGCAAACCCTTTACAAATTTATAGTTTTTATATTACAATTGTCCGGGTTATTTAAGCAATTTGCCCTTGACTTTTCAACGAGAGGAAACCAATTTAAACTGAAAATTCAGCCTTTTCCATCCATTTATTCAATTTTCTATATATTTATTTTGTAGTTGAAAATAAAAAATTAAAAATATATTTTAGTAAGTTGAGTCTGAGTAGTTAGTTATTGTTGATATGCTTCACTAGGTTTAATTTTACTTGTTTATTATTTAGTTTATTTACCTTGTTATGGTGTATTTTTTCGATAAAATTTTTTCTTAAATCACAATACCTTTAATATCAATATTTCTAATAAAATCAATACTATTCCACAAATGCATTTTTTTTCCTTTCATTTATTCGTTATACTTATGACTTTGCTGGGTACCAAAAAAAAATTTATTGTTTAAGTATATACTCATCTATATTTCTCCTTAAGAGACTTATTTGCACCATTTTGTGTCTTTTTGGGTACCAAACTACTTTGTTGTGTACCGAAAATTTTATTTTATTATGTAGGCATACACTCATCTACATTTCTCCTTAAGAGACTTATTTGCACCATTTTGTGCCTTTTGGGTACCAAAAAATTTTTACTTATACTTTATCGTATTTTGTTGGGAACCCATAATTAAATTTTTTATTATTTATTAATGCACTGTATAAAGGCAAGGGGAGATTTCAGCTACATACCTGCATTCTTCCAACCTCTCCTCTCCTTGATTGTGATTAACGAAAAAATATTTTTTAAATATAAAAAAAATGTACCTAGTGCGTTCGCTAGCATTCATATCAACATTCACACATATTCATTCCTACACTACTTGCGACTTAATTTTCCTCAGTTTTAATGAGGTATGGTAGACTCTGTCCTGAAGTTAATTCTTGCAGTCTGTTACTTTCTACTTCCACTATCAGGCGTCTGTAGTGATTCATTTGTAGACAATTTCGTTCGTCCCTAGTTGGAACTTCCAGTGGGTTGGGCTGTGCTTGTGGGGGTGACTGCTGTGCCTTTCGGTTGGAGAGCCATTTAAGTGTTATTTTTATCACTAGATAGCCAATAAAAGAAATAAATGCTATGCAGATGAGGGAAAATTCAACCTCCTGTATAATATGATTTGGTGAAAATGCCTGTGCTGGGACAGGGTGAGCTGCATATGCGGCTAAATTACGTTTGTGGAACAAAAGATAAAAAACGCAGATAGAAATTATGGTATTCCATATCAAGAATATTTTCCTTGGGAACTATAAGTTTGTATATCGGGTATAGAAAATTCTTGAAGATTAGAAATTATTTCCTGGACGCTTTCTCTCGTGGAGGTTAAATGTAATGTGGTATCTCGAACGTCCAATTCATATTCAGGCACTCTGTATGATTCATGAAGGTTGGAAAGCTGGTTTTTAGAATTGGGTTTAGGACAAATGATTTTAAATTTGACCAGGCTGCGGGAATAATATGAGTGATTTCTTGGGAATTAAAATTTTTTGTGAAACATGGAAATCTTTGGGGTATACTCTCCTCATTTTGTATCAGAAATTTACAGTTACAGGGTAACTTGACCCTTAGGGCTCCTGGGGTAGGGGTGGTAGATGATTTGGAATATATTAGTTTATTAGGTTGGTTAGGACAAGATAATTTTGTAGGGGGTTTTGGATGAGTTATCACAAAGACTTCTAGTTTGAGATTTGGGGTTTCTTCATTGGTGGTACTACCGATGATGCCGAGAAACACTATTATCCTGCATAAAAAAGTGTTAGTATATGATCAGACAAAAAAATATATATACATACATATATGGCTAAACATTTATTCCTATAACTATCCCCTTATCTATACCTTATATCCCATTATTTATTATGATATACCTTAATTTCTATGTATACTAAGAATCATATCTACTCGTTTTGCCGTATAACGTGTTGCCTACTTTTAGTTTGTTTCGTCTGTTTCATTTAACGGGAATGGTTCGGGTTCGGGAAGCCATGGATCGTTATATGGAAGAATTCTACTCACGTGAACAGTTTCTTTCGTGCTATTCTTGTGTGACCCTTTCCTAATTTCGTAGTTCACCTCCCCTATTTTCCTTTCTATATAATATGGACCAAAACATCGTAGAAGAAGTTTCTCACTTCTTCCCACCTTCCTGACAGGAGTAAAGACTTTTACTTGATCCCCGTTTTTGAAATCTAGCATGCGATGCATAGAATCGTAGCATACCTTATCCTTTCTTTGTTTTTCTGTTATTCCTTCGATCGCTTGATGTCTTACTTCAAGAGCTTTATCCCTTATTTTTATAACATCCTGATTTAAGGTCTTTGAAGTCAGATTTGCTTCTGTGGGTAGTACCGGTTCTCGGCCATATACCAGCATAAATGGGGAGAATTTGCTACTGTCCTGTTTGGCAGTATTGTATGCAAACGTTACCAGACTTAAATATTCATCCCAGTCTGTATGTTGCGGTTTGTGTACATCGACAACATATTTGCTAGGGTTTTGTTGAGTCAACCCATTAGCAGCTGGATGATATGCCGTGGTAAACTGACTCGTTGGGTTGTATCCTAGCTGATACGAATTATTCCCAAAATCCATTGGCGCGTAAGGGTTGGGAGGAAGTTTTGAGCCATGTAATAAGTGGGAGGTGCGTACGCCGGAACAGAGTATTGCTGTTGCCTGCCTACGTGGTTTTTGTTGGAAAACGATTGGTAGGACCTATTTTGGCGATTTTTTACGTATCCTTGCGTTTGAATAGCCTGACGGGTTTTCTCTGTTTCCTCGTTGGGTGTAAAAAACGCTAAATCAGTTTTTTGTTCTTCCCTCAGGCTAAGGTATCCCAATGTTGAAGCATTATTCGAGATGTCCTGCAATTTGAGGACTATGGTTTTAAATTTAGCCATTGTCATCTCGTTATCGCGTAGCAACCTATATGCTGCATATAATTCGGTATCTAGTACGTTCTCGAAGAATTTTTGAAATCCCTCTGCATTTAGAGTAGGGTCGAACTCGTAATATAGGGTTTTCAAGTTGTAGAAAAAGGATTTTATAGATTCCCCTTTTTTCTGTTTTCGACTTAATAGCCGTAATTCTATGCTCCGTTGAGCGTTACCCTCTTCAAATTCTTCACAGAAATCGGTTTTTACTGCCGTCCACCCCTTAGCTTGATTTTCTGGTCTTTCTTTGTAGATCAGAAACCAGATGTTGGCTGCACCTTCTAAGAAGGATCCAAGAAAACTAATTTTTAATCCGTTGTTCCAGCCGTTGGCGATAGCGGTTCGTTCGTAACTCGCTAGGAAGGCATGAACATTCTCTGTACAAGGGTTGAAAGTAGGGGGTGAAATGAACTGCGGTTTGGCTGGCTTAGTATCGTTACCGAATGCTTCTGAGAGGGTTGTGTTGGCCATATTTGGTCGTTCCTCTCTTTCCTGTGCCGCTATCGCGGGTATGGGCACGGTTGGCCCTACTGGTAACGAGGGGGGGGGGTGGTTTGTTTTTTCGTTTTCCAAGAATCTACTTGTTAACTGGAGTTGTGTTATTTCAGGAGTTTCTTCGATATCAGATTCCCCCGAGATGGTAGCTTCTGCTGATGGCAGAAGTTCCGCACTTGCCCCTGCGCTCTCCCTTGTTGGAGATTTAGGGGTTCGTTCCGATTTTCGCGAAGGATCCTGCGTTTCAGCTAGCCTCGAGCTGCTGAGTTTAGGGTCAAAGTTGTTTACCACCTTTACCTCAATGGCCAGTTTTTTCGAGTCGCTCCTTAGAACCCGCGGGGTATTGTTTGACATTAATTCACGGTGGTAGTAGTTGATTCTTAGTGATAAGAAAACCCAGTATACCAAAGTTATATAATTCTAATATTTTATATTAGTATTCAAAAAAATTTAAAAAAATTTCACACAAACCATAGTGGTAAAAAAAATAATAATGATAACAATTGCAGATTGTTGCCGTCTCCTATTATTCAAAGGCTTGTACCGTGACTTAAATTAAATCCGGATCCCCGAATAGCCGGAAAAGTTTAAATCTTAATTTGGTTTTTTCTGAGCAGTAACTTTGTTTTAATTTAAATTTTTCGTTCACAATTTTAAACCGTCTTGAATAGATGGTTTCTATTTCGGGAGAAGTTCCGGTCCCCTGATTGGCAAAATCTCTTCTGAACGAATTTTTCAGGATTTCTACCTGTCTATCGATCGTGTTTTCAGAGATGATTACGCAATCCGGTGGTGGAAAATCTTCTCCTTCCTTGATAGAGGTGTTGGGGATACGTGTCACAGGATTATCTACTAGCTGTCGAAGATATGCTAGCTCGCGTTCTCTTTTTCCCAACCTACGATTCGGAGACATTCGTCCCTGTCGTTAGGTCGTATCCCCCCACCGGTCTTTTGCACCCAGCAACAGATTAATTTTCGGTTGAGTTATCTTTCCCGGATATCTTTCTTTAGAGGTGTCCACCAAGTAGGTAAAGATATTCGGTGCGCCAGACGAACTTGACTCGAGGTTGACACCAGGTGACAAGTTCCCAACGAACAGTTAAAACAATATATTCCTTGCGACAACTCACCCTAGCAAGGTCTATTGCTGGATACAACCAAAAAAAACAACAAATTTCCCTTATTCGCCTTATTTGCCTTTGAATTATTGTGTTTTATCTCGCCAAGTAAGGTAGCTATTAAAAAGAAAACTATTTTTTGTACATTAAGGGCAATTAGGAAGAATTACCTTCGGAAATCAGTTGCCAAACGGCACCTCCACCATATGTCACGAGCCTATTTGTCGTGATTGAGTCACTTTAACTAATGACTCTATGTGCTACCTGACTTGGAGAAATAAAAGATTACGAGAACAATTAACAATTTTATTCATCAATAAATAATCAATATTCAATATTCAAAATGTAAAATAGATAATTATAATAAACAATATAAAAGGCCTTACCAAAACATCCCCGTTAGTGGCACGTCACGACGCTTACCCCAAAACTAAAAGATATCTATTACTTTAGATACCTCTCAGTACAGCAAATGGAGAACTGTCCTCGTAACAGTAATCAGTGTCGAATTTATACCTATTAACTATTTGCTGAATTTGCTATTTCTTTAATTCGACACAATTAATGCAGGTCGGTAATAGTTCAACGTCTATGTTTTTGTTATGAAATGTATACAATATTATTTACTTAAGGATATATTTACATTTAAGAGAATATTGAGATTTTCTATTAGAGATAATTATTTTTATTCTAGGATTTATTTAAAAGTATAATAATTTATTTTAATGAATTTTAATAATGATTTTTTAATATTTTACTGGACGTGACAGTATCATGATTACAATAGAAATTGTAAGCGTAAAACAGCACATCTTAAACAAACACTTGTACTTGGAGTACATCACCGTCAGAAAATCCTTCGTTTAAATATTGTTCATAAATAAGTAGATGATCCGAAATCTGAATCGTTATAATCACTTGATGGGCTACTCGAAACGGCCGGGTAATACAAACATAGGTTAAAGGTATATATTGGGGTGAAATATATGTATATACGCATCAAATATTCACATTCCGTCATTTTTAAAATAATAGAATAATAGTCTTCGGCAATTATTTTAAATACCTACTAAAATGCAGTTTTTTTAAATCTAATGCAATATTTTTTTAGAAATTCATATATGTGATTTGATGTATGTTATGCCTTCTCATAACTATTTAATTATAGTCAACTAAATTTTTTTGTAATTACTATAAAAAAATGATATTTTTTGTTACTGTATCAAAAAATTGTTTTAAAATTAGGTTTTTAAGTAGCAATTCTGTTGTTAATAATACTTTTAACAAATTTTAAAAAAGGAGCGATTTTTACCTATTTTATTAATAGTATAACGGAAGTAAACGGAAGTAAATTGATCCGGTAAAGCTACGACACTTTTAACAACCGACACTAAATCCTCTTGGACTGTGAGGTTTGCGTAATCGTCTTCATTATCCATAATTGCAACTACACCACGTTGTTCTAAAGCCACCTTTGTTTGGATGATTGCTAAACCTACTCTGTAGAACTGCGTAATTTCGCCGCGCACGGGCACGTTATTGAATTCAAATAAGCTAGTAAATATGTTAACGGTGCTGAACCACCGCTTCCAAGCGGTCCATCACGCTCTCATTCTTGACTCCAGGGAAACGTTTCTTCTTTAAATCCTCTGCGAGGTCGCCTTCGGTAATGAGCGATTGAGTCTGTCTGTGTGTTTCTATTCTTGCGGAGTTGTAGTTACTTCGACCAGGTCCACGCCTTCCTCTTGTCTTTGAACGGTCCTTTTCTTGACCCTTTTCCAATACTTGACGTTGAACTTCATACATTTCATTGTTTTCGCTACTTTGATTCCCTTTTCTGAAATCTGACCTATCACTGCGTTGTCGCGGAAATTGATTGAAATTTGGCATTTTGGTTTTCACTTCTTGTGGCTGAAATCAGTTACCACTAAAAATGTTTGTATAGACTGATAATAAGAATTGATTAAATAAAATAAGATGTTATATATTTTATTTCCAAACAGTTGGGGTTTTTTTAATACTTCTAATACGATCTTTAGTCTTCAGGCCACCTTTCCACCCCCCTTCGCCAAAACGACAAAAGTGACATATTTTTGAGGTCTTGTTTTACCCTAAAAACTTGGCCGCATATGAGACATGTCAACCCCAAATATGTTCTATTACCTTGTACGATATTTCTGTTCATCTAAAAACTTTAAATAGTATATTTTTGTTTAAGGACCTAATTTTATCCTATTAATTAAAACAGCATTCGTTTTTATGTTTGCATATATGTTTTAAATAACTATTTTCGCTTTGAAATCTAACTTTATAGACGAGACACTTTAGATTCAACCTTTTGCGATAACACAATCAACACCAAGTATCTACAAGTTGTTAGCAGATTTTCAAAAAAGGTATGTAATATTGCTAATAATTTATGGTTCTCTAGAAGCGAATTCTCTCATCTTTTTACGTTATGATCAGAAAAGTTAATAATAATCAAATAAAACAATTAGATCATTAATAATTAATTTAATCTGCAAAATAATAAAGAGCAGGTGTAAATATACAAAAAATTCAAAAAGAAACACTGATAAAATCTCGTACCATGTAAAGCCCACCGACTGTACTGGCTGATGCGGCCTCGTAATAAACATGATTAAGCCCCACAGGCCCTATTGAGGTGAAAACTGTGGGGGGCGGTGGTGTCACCCCACACCTTCCGCTCATTATTACTATAGGTTTTGTCTAAAAATAAAAAAGTTAAGCTTAAAATTTAGTGTAAATAAAAAATGTTTTTTAATCAATACAATTTTAAGAGCAAACAGTAGCGCGTCGTCAAACTGCGTTTAAAACTCAGGTAATACACACCCAGACTTTGTACATGCCAGACTAAGCAACACCGCCTAATATATTTGCTGGTGGGAAAGTTGAGAGATGCATTTGATTTCCTGATTGTGTTTGCGCTTCGGAAAGGTTAGCAGGTAGATGACGGGTCGATATTTTAAATAATGTATTTATTTTTATATACCACTTTTAACACGTTAAAATACTGCATATACCCGGTTTTTCTTGTGCGTCTAAAAGAAAAACGGCGTATTTTTACCAAAAATCTGAGATCATATAAAATAAATATTTTAATTGGTCAAAAAAATATAATACGGAAATGAATAAGATTTAAATAAAAATCTGCTCATTAATTTGGAAAAATTATATTTAATTAATTTACAAAAATTATATGTTTTGTCAAATATAATTGTTTTGTTGAAGTTAGTCTGTACAAATTAAATAAGAATGTTTTAAAATAAATATAATTAAGTTACTTGCATCAAATAAACAAGATCTATTTTTTACATATTCGAAGTTGATTTTGAGTTTAGCTCCTCTCTGGATATTTCCCTTATGGACAAACCTCTTGGTACTCTTGGATCCACCAACTCGGGAAGTAAACAATTAAAAAAAAAATTTTTTAATTTTAGTAACATTTTTTGTTGCCAAAAGTCCTCATCCTTAGTTATCTAAAAATACATTATAAATTATTATTGTCGTCCTTGTAAGAAAAATATAAAAAATGTTTTCGTTTATGAAATCATATTTTGTTATGTACCTTCTCAATCAAACATCCTTGGGAACTCCAGACAATAAAATAGCAAATTTTCCGTTTTGTTATTTGCAGCTGGCCCTGAACTTGAAAATAATAGTTATGATTTCTCTTTAATTTGAGTTTTTCATTCTCTATTGTAGCGAAATTAATTTTTTTTGTTATTATTCCTTCTAGTGGGCTGATATTTTTAATAGAAGCCGGGCATTTAATTTCTATTATTGCATCATCTCCTACCAGTCCATCTGGAGTGGCCCCTAAAAAGTAATTTATCTCATCTATGAATAAACCGCAATTGTTTACTTTCACATTATATGTTTTTTCGAATGCTTCTAAGGCAAAAGGTTCACTAATTTTTCCATAATTAGTTGAATCATTTCCACAAAATTTTGAATATATCAAATTTTGTATGGTTGAGGTACTATTTGTAGAGGGCCTTAATTTACATATTTTGCCAAAATTTGAGGCGGTTAATATTATTTGACGCTCTTCTAGCCACAAAAGTGAAGATGTTTGATTTCTAGTATTCATCTCAATATTAGCAATTTGTTCTTTTGTTTTCTTTAATTTTATTAAGAATTCACTTTTGGCAGCCACATACTGTTCTTCTGTCATATCTGGTACAGAATCTGTTGCACCATAATCTTTGTCCGGAAGAGACACTTCCATTTTCTTTCTCATCTCTTGACGCCGGGATTTTCTTTCAGCTGATAACTTTGTATATCTTTCTTTAATTTGTTGTTTTTTTTTTATATATTGTTCTGTAAATTGTGAAACAGTGGAAATTTTCAAAGCATTGTTCATTACTCTATAATAATTCGGTCCAGAATTATATGATACTACTGCTGCTTCACAGCGTGTCTTGTAGGACATTCTCTTTGAAAAATTTACTCTTTTACCCCCAACAAATTTACATACTAAGGAGTTATAATGTTCTGCCGTATTATTGTCCATGTTGTACAGCAAACTATCAATATTTAAGATTATGCGATTTAAACAGATTTCTACATCTCTGTATAAACCACACTCTTTCATTGGAGGCACTAAGTTATTGACATCTGTCTTGTCACATTTAAAATATTTTATTTCCTGGCATTTAAGATGTTCACCGAAAACGTGAGAGGGTGCATTTATAATATCCTTTTTTAGATTTTTAATTTTTTCATCAAATGATGTGTTTTCAGCAATACGGTATTTTGCTGCTTTACTAATTGCAAATCTTAATCTTTTGGAATTTTTCTCCAATTCCTTTCGTAAAATAACAGGAACAAACATGTTGCTCGAAGGGCTTCTTCTTTTTTCTGCAATATAAAAACTAATTAAAATACTGTACAAATGAAATGGTAAGTATTATAATAATTATGGTCATCAGTAAACTTTGTCAGTTCAATGGTCGGCAAAATAATTATGCTAGGTAAAATTAATGAATGGACAACATATGGACAATAAAATTAATAAATAATGAAATTATTAAATGGTCGTAAAAATTACCAGAAAATAAATAGAGACAGTAATATCAGCACATATCATGAATAAACAAATAGCAAGATAATAAATTGTAAGTAAAATTTACAAAAGTTTAGAAAAATTAACAAACAAGCAGTAAACATAATAATTGCAATATTACTGACCATTTCGTAGTATTTTACATATTTTTCAAGGTATAAATCCTAAAATACGCGATATATTTCGGCCATTTTATAAAATACGCAACTTACTGCATAAGTCTCTAATTTTTGAAGAAAAATTGCGAAGGAGATGATTCCTACATTCAATTTTCTTAATCACGGTTTGCGGTCCATAAGGTCTTATTTCCATTAATTTGTTGTGGACAGAGCTGTCTCCATCTCCGACAAGTGTAGTATATTTTAAACCGTGATTTTTCAAACTATTTTTAAACCCATCACAGATAATATCGGTTTCCATTGAAGTTGAGGAACCCTGCCAGTTCTTAGAACAAAAATGTTCAGGACTTTTTTCATTCTTACTGGCATAGAATTCGCACATGCTACAGTATTTATTCCTGACTCCTATGAACAACACTTTCCCAGTTCTAAATCCCACTATACAGGCCTGAAATAAAATAATCATAAATTTATGGACTTTAGCAAAAGAAAGATATATTAAAAAAAAGCATCTATATTCTTACAACTCCAGAAGCTGCATTATAATTAACGTTGTAGGATCGCTTAGACCAAGCACCATCGGCCACAACTGTTATGCAAGGAATACCTGCAACATCAACTTCTCCCAATTACTTTGCTAAATCAGCTTCTTCTTGACCTGCTTCTATCATTTGCTTCCAGGCAGTTTTAAAAACAACGTCAGACACTTTTTCGTGGTAACTAAAATACGTTTTTTCGGTCATTGCTGGCATATTCAAGGCAGCAGATAATTCATCAATTGCTGAAAAACCAATACCAGCAGATATCGTGCCTAAAACTAATGACGAGTTGACATTTGTAACATTTTTTGGATTCTCGGAATGAATTTGCTTTATAATGTTACACATTTTGCATTTAAGCGTAAATGTAGAAAAATATCCTTTACGAACTTCTTGAACAAGTGTCATGTCAGTAATATCGCATTCAAATGGTTTATGTTTTTCACCATTTAGCAATTGTTGAAAAAAATATGAAACGTCAATTAATCTTCTGCCGCTTAGAGAGGTATTTTCCGAATTTTCATGATCCATCTGCCCTCTAAAAATGTATTGCTATAAAAATGTAACAGATAAATTTTTTTCACAAACCTTTCAGTTTCAATTACTTCTTCTAGAAATAGTGGATGACTTTTGATTGTTTCAAGAGAATTTATGGTATCTAAATTTTCTTTAGTAACACTGCAAAAGATTGGGTTATTATATTTTTATTTGGTTTGAAATTTGATTATACACAGTATTATTTTTATAAATTTTAGTACGCTTAAAAATATCTTTGTCACACACCAATGAGTTCTATTCAGTATTTAAAATAAAAAAAAATTGAAGAATATATACCAGATTTATAAATTGTACTAAAATTTTGCAAATATATTTTACAAGACAGCCTTCTTCTATGTGAAGAACATAACTTATTTTTGTATGTAAAGAGAGGTACTTAAAGTAATTAATTATTTAAATTATAAATAAAAAACAACGGATATTGAGATTTAAATCAAAGTTGCAAATTTATATAATAAATATACAGGGTGTTACTTAATGATAATCCGCAATTTCAAGGGCGCATTTCTACCAAAGTTTAAGTAGAAAAAGAAAAGTCCATATAAATATGTGTCCTAAAAATTCAAAATACAAAATGAATGTTGTATTCCAGTGACGTTCTATTTTTAATTAAAAAGCAACGTTAAAAAGCATAATTGAAATGTTTAAATTTAAACACCCTGAAACTTTTTTTAAGTGCACTTTTGTACATGAGTAAGGAAGGTTCAATCGACCTATTTTTGACTCCAGATATGTGGTGTAATATTTTTTTCAAATGGTATTTTATATTACTT